CTTCTGACGTAGGCGCGTTTCCAAATCTATATTATGGTTTACAACAATAGCAAGGTGGAATTGGTACTTACAACAATTTGATTTTGAAATCAAATACCGTAAAGGTTCGCAAAATGTAATAGCCGATGCATTATCCAGAAATCCTGTTGAGGACCCAGAGATTGAATCCGAAACCGACATGGAAACAGCATTCAGTATCGAAAGCATTGATTGCCCATGGTACCTACGCACTATCCACGAGGTTATCATTCATCCTGAACGATATCCAGAATATCAAATAATTCATGATCACCTATATCGTCACATGCACCACCGAGCCCGTGGTACCTACGCACTATCCACGAGGTTATCATTCATCCTGAACGATATCCAGAATATCAAATAATTCATGATCACCTATATCGTCACATGCACCACCGATTGGATTTTAAAGAAAATAATAATCCTTGGAAGCTTTGCGTGCCCACATCTCAAAGACTACAAGTTCTGCAAGAGAATCATGATGCACCCACTGCTGGACACCTCGGAATCGCGAAAACTATTGCTAGGATATCAGAACAGTATTATTGGCCACGAATGCAGGGCGACATCGCTAGATATGTACGTACTTGTGAAAAATGCCAGCAGTTCAAACCTAGACAACAACAAGTACCGGGAAAAATGGGTACAATAAACGCGACCAGACCTTGGCGTCTGGAGAAATGCGGAACGATTCATTATTGGCTCTGATTCCTTCATTTCGACGACGATTAATTGTTCTTCTCGGAATAGGTGCATTCACATCGAATAAATACTTTCGATACCGTCTTCCCTGATCCATTATTACATGAAATAATTTGACAGATAATGAGAAATATGTGGGATAAAATGTATGTTGGTGACTTTTATAGGTTGCAAATCCGTCGTTCGTTGTTGTTGTGATATCCGTGTATATGCAAAAATGTGGAAGCGCCGCACTTTCACCCCTCTCCAAATTGATAGAAAAGCGCTTCGGTGCGGCTGCGCGGTGTGCTCGTGAGCACGTGATATGCGATCACGTGGCCAATATGGCGTCCCAACCTCAGCTTACGACGCCATTCTTTTCGGTCTCGAGTCATTAGTGCGGGCTGTTGGAATCCACGATCATGTCGAAAACACGCCAAAGGCGTATTGAAAAACCCGATTCGTTCGAAAAAGAAAAAATTCGAGAAACGCGAAAGAAAATATCGGTGCCGCGTAAAAAAGTCGCGAATGATAAAAAAGAAACGAGTCTCTGGTGAACTATCAAAAAAAGCTCATATTGCGCCTTACGGGCAAAGAACAGCAGGAAACAAAGAAGGATGACATCTCGTCGAACAAATTGATAAAAATTCAATTATAGTGAAACTACGAAAACAAAATAAGCTATTGACGCAGCAAAATAAACAGCTGATTGAGCTGAATTCAACTTCGCCGCGTAAGTATTTTTTTGTACTGAATTCTCAATTTTGTTAAATGTGAAACGTTTTTTTTATTTTCCCACTTTCTCTGGAGCTTTACGAATATTTATTTAAGGACTATAAACTTGCCGAGACAATATTTTTAGTTTAAAAAATTGAATGAATGATTATGAATTAAATATAACCATTTTCGAAAGCGCAAAAAAAAATGAAAAATGACAATGTTGGAAAATTCTGTGTATATATTTTTATCGGTTTTTCAGATGTTATTCAAATGTCTAAGGAGGCTCGTCAAATATTAACAATGCTGCGAAGCGCCAAAAAATGAATGACGACGAACGGATCTACGACTGTTCCCCATACATGCTCATGTCCAATTAATCGGGAAGAGAATAACAATGCTGAAAATCCACCAGCACTTGCTTCTCCACAGTACGAAAATAACGATACAAAAATTGAAGTGGATTTGCCAACGTCCGACACTGAGATAGCCAATGTACAGATTATTGCTGCGAATGAGGAAATTGAGGTGGATGGAAGCCATGATTTCATTTTCACGAAGATACCTGTTTTGACAGTATCAAATCCATTGTTGCAGCAATCACTCATAGAAAATGTAAGTTTGTAATGGGCATCTCTATTTTTTTTTCTTAAAAACTATTTTTTCGTAACAATTTGAATGAACTATAGCAATCGTAGAAAAGTAATAGTGAACGGAACCTTTTCAAGAATATGCCGCGAACCCATGAAGGCATACAATGTTAAAAGCAAACTGAAAACATTCCCGCGGCTTCTGCTAGCCTTTTTCAGTTCTTTCTTCTAGTTTGAGAGTATCAGTTCGCTCTGCGTTTTCAAATATAGAGTGAATGAATATAAGCGTTTCAAGTATGGAACACAAAAATAAGAAAAAGGAAATGCAGTATCATTTTAAGAGCATAAACAAATTTGTTGTTTAATTCTTTTTCGAAATGGTGGCGTACCCAACAAACTCTCTTGTTGAGAACAGTGTTCTCCGGTCAGACACATCACTCCTTGGAAGTTTAACCCGAAACAAAAAAAAAAAAATTTTTTCAGTTCTGCATAAGAATAGCTAGAAAAATAATAATAAAAGCCTCGGCTTCGCTTCGGCCTTTTTATATCACATACGCCAGGAAATTCAATTTTCTGGCCTAGGGTCGTAATACACTATTTATTGGATTACATTTTTAGGTTCAAATGGATTTAGTTAACTTCGGCGGGATTCTCGTTTCAAAAAAGGCGTTACAGAGCTGTCACCAAACCAAAATTTCGAAGCTAACCACGGATTTAATGACCGTCGTATTTTCGGCAACGGAGATGGCCGAATCCTCTCTCACAGGCAAAATCGCAAAAATGCACAAAGAGCGAAATAAAAGTGGCGAAGTTCGACAAAAGAAGGAACTCGATCCTTCTAAAATTCAAGCAATCATCGGTAATATTTATTTAAATTTACAGAAATAAAGATTTCGATTATAGAGACTATTACGTATTAGAGAATACAAATTTACTGCATTTATCTGAAAAAAAATTATAACATGACTCTATAGTCTAATTTGCATTTGAGGTTCTTTACACGTTTAAATGATAATAATGCTTTTCTCGTGGTTTGCAGGACACGTTCAGGAACGGATTCAAGGTGCAACTGAAGCGGAAATAAAAAAAGCGCTCAGAGGAAAACTAAAATACGAAAGTCAAAAGCAGTACGGCGTTGGCTATAAAAAAGTCCAGAACTGCTAGCGACAATATTTATTTTTTGTTTTATTGTATTTTGGTTTTAGGCTCTATGTTTTTTATTATATCAAATAAAACTGATTAAAAATTATACTGGTAATGTGTTTTTTGAATTGAATTTCCATTCGGATCACAAGTACTGGAAATTTAATCGCATTTTATAATGGAAATTCACTGCCATTACAAAATGCCATTGATTTTCCATTGCTTGAAACGCAATGGAAATGAACGCATCTTTGTCAAAGACAAAATAGTACCATTCATTTTGCCCTACGCATAATCAATGGCAATACTAATGCCATTTTGAATGGAATTTTTCGTCCTTGGCAAAAATGTCTTCATTTCCATTGCGTTCGAAATAATGGGAAATCAATGGTATTTTTAATGGCAATCATTGATACTTTTTGCTAAGGGTTATACTACCCAGGCGCACTGAAAAATTAAGGTTTTTTGGGGAATTTTTTTCTTAGAAACTATTCAATAGATCAAAATGAAATTTTGAGGCTTTATTATACATATTTTGAGGTATATAAAAAAATTTGTTATTATAACTTACGATACAAAATGGCGTCTTGGCAAGTGGTAAACGGAACATGTGTTTTTTCCGTGGAGCGAATCTGCGTACATCATAACATTCTCCGAACACAGCACGTAGAGCAAAAAGAAATTTGTCGTTAATACACATGGTGATGGCGGCCGGGCAAGATCAGCTCGACTATGTGCCTCCTGATATTTGTTTTAAGTGTCATCTTCAACAAACAGGAGGAATAGTTGTGTGCATAGTTTGCGAAAACGTCTGGCACAAGAGTGATTATGTAAGAACAAATAAACAGGGAAAATATTTATCTAGTGTAATGGTAATATGTAAAGAACATACCCAGGCAGACATAACCTCAAACAAGGAGAAGGAGGAATTAATTTCAAACAACGATAAGTATTTAAAGATAACTTATATACAGCAGATACAAAACAAGAGTGAATCTGAAAGAGATGGTATAGAAAACACGACAAATAGTAGTACTTATAATGCTTATGTTCAACTAGATCCTGAATACTTTCATCACATAATGACAACTGGAAAAATTTTTGTTGAGTGGCAACGTTGCTCTGCATATGAAGAATTGAACATGAATAGGTGCTATAAATGTTGTGGATATGGCCATAGTGCCAAAAAATGCAATAATAAATACAGATGTTTGTACTGCGCTGGAGAACATGATAGCAAAACTTGTCATAATGAACAGCAGCGAATATGCTGTAATTGCTCAGATGCTAAAAATTATCACAGAGTGAACAGAACTGTTAACCATGTAGCAAGTGACAATAAAAACTGCGAAACATATAAATCAAGACTGAAGTATCTAAGATCGAAAATTGACTATAATAATGGCTGATAGTGTTGAAGAGGACCTTGCAAATGGTGAAGATTTATTTGTTGAAGAACTTGAAATTACTGATGTTCAATCTGTTAATAAAGAATTAACAAATAAAAAATGCATTATTGTTAGTGTAAATATAAGAAGTCTGAATGCTAATATTGATAAACTTAATGTATTTATTAACAGTTTGGACAATAAGCCATCAGTGATTATTTGCACTGAATCATGGAATCTGCATGGCTTAGCCATTTGTAACTTAAATGGGTATGATAGTTATTTTAATGAAAGCAAAATTAATAAAGCAGATGGTGTTGTATTTTTTGTTAAAAAAGGCCTAAATAATGAAATAACGCATGAAACTGTAGAAAATTTAAAAGTAATTAGCTGCTTATTTACTTGTGGTAGCGAAAAGATAAAAATCTCTGGTGTATATAGGTGTCACGATTACAAAAAAGAAATTTTCATTAAAAATGTATTAAGTTATTTGATATTGAATAAAAGATTCAGAAATCACTATATTTTTGGTGATTTCAATATTGACATGATAAATACAGATGAAGATGCTCAAAATTTTCTGTATAACTTCTTAGAATATCATTATACATCATTTTTTCAAAAAATAACCAGACCTAATGATAATAATGTAAATGGTGGAACCTGTATAGATAACTGTTTTGCCAAAACTACTCTCACCTGCAAATCTTATAAAATTAATCAAGTAGTCTGTGATCACTTCCCGCTCTTTATAACAATTGATAAAAATATTGATAATATACCTCATGTAACACAAGACAAATTTTTAAATTACAAAAAACTGAATAAATTAGCACAAATACAACTATGGCATAAGCTTTTATCTATACAGGATCCCGATATGGCTACGAATGTATTGATTGATATGATTAAGACAATTACTGTAAAGGCACAAACTAAAAAGAACAGGTTTAAAGACAAAAATATTGCAAGAAAAAATTGGATTACGCAGGGTATAGTAATTTCATGTAATACAAAAGAAATTTTATATAATATGTGGAAAGCTAATCCAGAGAATACAATACTAAGGCAAAATTTTAAAAATATGTGAAATTGCTTACTAAAGTAATTAAATATGCAAAATACAATTTTGAGCAAAAAAAGATAAATAATTGTGGCAGAAATACCAAAAAATTATGGAAGTACATAAATAATAAGTTGAATAGAAACAAAAATTGCAAAATGATAAAGATAGATAAATTAAGAAACCAGGACACGATTGTAACCAAACCAAATGAAATTGCGGATTCTCTCAATGATTTCTTTGGTAATGTTGGATTAAAACTCGCTAGCCAAATAAATAAACCAAAGAGTGAAAAAGTATATTTGCCAAGTTTTAATCAACATACTTTATTTTTAGAACCAACTTGTCAGATGGAATTACTGAGAATAATTAAGCAAATAAAAAATAAAGCTGGTGGAATTGATGCTATTAATGTGATGGTATTGAAAAATATCGCTATTTCAATCTATGCATCTCGAAATCTGTTTGGCCAAAAGCTCTAAAAATTGCTGAGATAGTACCAATTTTCAAGTCTGGTGACAGAACACTTCCAACAAATTACAGACCAATTTCTTTGATATCAAACATAGCAAAATTATTTGAAAAAATAATAGATATTAGGCTATATAAATTTCTAACAAAATATAATTTGATATCTAATAAACAGTTTGGATTTAGAAGGAATGTTGGTGCTAAGGATGCAATTTTTACTGTAACTAGTAACATAACAAATGGTTTGAATGATAATAAAAAAGTCTTAGGAACATTTTTAGATCTGGCTAAGGCTTTTGACACAGTCAATCATGGAATATTATTAGCAAAATTAGAGAGATATGGTGTTAGAGAGGTAATACCAATGAATTATTTAAGAGTTACTTAACGAATAGGTTTCAAAAAGTGAAAATAAACGATAATTATACTGATATATTAAATGTTAATACAGGTGTACCTCAAGGAACTATATTAGGTCCACTTTTGTTTATAATATATATATAAATGATCTTCTAGAACAATTACCTGTCAACACCATATCTTCTTATGCAGATGACACTGTAATTATATGTACAGAGGCATCATGGGAAAAAGTAAGAGATAAGATGAATACATATTTAAATATTGTAAATAATTGGCTAAGCCTAAATGAATTATCGTTGAATGTAAAAAAAAACTGTATATATTACTTTTGGATCGTATAAAGATAGTGTACCAAGTGTTTTACACATACACATCAATGAGCAGGAAATACAGAGGGTCGAAAAATGCAAATATTTGGGATTATTAATAGATAGTAGATTAAAATGGAACGCACATATTGTCAATGTAATCAATAAATCCAAATATTTAATTTATCTTTTTTATAAGCTGTCATATTCCATGAATGCATTTTCACTTATGACAATGTACTACACTTTCTTCCACAGTATAGCAACCTATGGAGTAGTTGCCTGGGGAGGAGCATACGATAATGCTTTATCAGGTTTACAAAGAGCACAAAATAGACTAATAAAAATAGTTCGTATTAAAGATAATAAAATGAGGCTGCCTTTATCTATAAAACAAAGTTTTCTATTAGAATCAATTCTTTATAACTACAATGATCTATCAATCAAATTTAAAGAATCTAGCAAAATCACTAGAAATAAAATCACTCTATCTATCATAAATAAAACTTTAGCTTTGAATAGTTCCAGAATTATAGCAATTAAACTGTTTAATAGCTTAGATACAAGTTTAAAAGAAGCGAGTAAAAACAAAGACTCTATTATGAGGCAATTAAAAATATGGATAAGCAAAAATACGCAAAAATTGTTAAATCTCCATTTAATAGCATTAAATGACTTAATCAAATAGTAGGATCTTTGTATAAAGCTTATTTGTAAGTGTTATTTCTAGTTTCAAGTTTTTAATTTTAATCTTTAGTTCTATAAGTTAAACTAGGTCACAGGTTTTTGTAATAAACCTCTTGCAGATTTTTATGTAATGAAATAAAATGTATCCCAATACACCTAGTTCAATAAATATATGTTGGATTATTAGTCTCGTTCATACTAAGAACTCTTCAATAGTAACTTATTATATACAAAAACAAATCGACGTTGAGTGATAACATAAACAACAGATTTCTTAGAAATAGCATAGGGCTAGTTATCTTTAAAGGACAAGGATCTCTAGGTCTTTGTGACTTGTGATCAGTCTCTTGTAGAGAGTGAAACAGTTCAGACGGTTCTTCCATTGTTGCATTAATAAAGTATAAGTTAAAATATAATCCACTGCAAATTTTATATTCATTTCATAACCCATTTCCAATAATGTATATATATATATATCTACATTAGTTTTGCTAGGGAAGTATCCACGATTATACATTTTTATCGAAAATTCACAAATTGGCGTCAGTTTGAACTTTTTTTTTCATTTTTTTACTAAAAATCGATTTGGAGTATTATTTTCCATGCCAATATAAATATAATAAAGAAGTCGTCGTTTGTCGTGATTTTTTATGCAAAGTACTAGACATTGAAAGAGGAAAATTCATAACAATTCAAAACAAAATGAAAAATGATGAAAGTCTCAGTGATAAGAGGCAAAACACATTTTTAAAAACCCACCGATGATACAAAAAAACTAATATATGAACATTATGAGAGTTTAGCGCACACTAAGTCTCACTACCGACGTCAACAATCATCGCTAAACTACTTTAAAGATTCTAGTTTGAATTTGTCGAAATTGTTTAAATTGTTTGTACAGTTTTATAAGTCAAAGAACCCTAACAAAAAATGCCCCATTCAAGAATCAACTTACTGTAAATACTTTAACCATTTTGTAAATTTTACATTCAATATGCCAAGAACAGATATTTGCAATGATTCTTTTACTTATGAACAAATGAATGTGCGAGAGACCGATGAGGCACGTAAACATTATCAAAAAGCTAATAATTATAGAGAGATGAAAAACAAAATGTTGTCCGTGCCTGGAAACATCTTGCGCTGCGAGTTCGATTATGGTAAAAATCTTCCCTTTCCTAAGCTACCTGTATCGACTCAATTCTACTTGCGACCGATGTGACTTTTTATTTTCAACGTTCACGTATACCACCCCGATAGAAGTTATATGATTACATACATGGAGGGTTTAACCAATAAAGGAAGCAATTCAGTATGCTACATGATTTTAAATGTTATAAAAAGAGAATTTGATTTACACTGCTACGATAGAATATTCTTATTTTCTGATGCCAGCGGCTGGCAACTCGGTGCGGTCTGAGTGGCATCGAATAACAAACGAAGAACGTAATGATGTAATGTCACTTTTGAAGTTTCTTACCCCTAAAGCGAAACAACATTAAAACAAATTATTCGAAACCATTCGCATTAAAGAAAAGAAAAAAACAAGTTAAAGTTCCTAAAAACGTTCAAAAAAATAACGAAAGAATATTGTCCAGCGAAAAAAAGCGATAATCCGTCGTATGAAAAAAAAAAATAGCGTTTCAATTTTTCCTAGCACGTATCTTACTTCTTTTCGTGCTCCTATTTAATGTGTAATGCTAACTGTAATAAAATTATTCAATGCACCACTTAAATTTTGTTAAACTAACACAGGTACAACTTTAATATGAATATTAATGAACGGTGTACTAGACTGGTCTAGCATTGCATCTATATCCACGCAAATTTTTTATCAAATACATTTCACGTTAATCAGAATTCTATTCTCCCTATTCCGATCAAAGACGTAGCGCGCCAATCTTCGTCACACTCCTAGCTTTGTCCAGTTATCGTTAATTTCCGAAAAAAATGTAAACTTCTTTTTTCGGCGAATAAAAAAATTAATTTTTTTCAACAATGCCTTTGATGAACTATATTTTACAAACTCATTCCTCAGTGCAATGAAGAAACTGTAATATTCTAACATTTTTTGATTAACCATGGCTCTAATGCACTGTTTTACCAATAATCCTTTATTACAGGAAACAAAAATGTAAGAAAATTTATTGAAAATTGATAAATTTTTACATTTGTTGATGAAAACCAGTGACGCATCTTTTGTCTTTGTCACTCTGCTGCAAAGTCAGTGAGCGTCCATCTCTTTCGCACCCTCACCAAACGTTAACTACACGGTGCGCATCGCGTATCGCTCTCGCGCTCGAGCGCGATTGTGAACAATCAATTGTAGAAGCTTCAATTTTCAACTTTCTCAGCTGAAACTTTCCAAAAATCTTCCTGAGGTCTTGACGCTCATGAATATATGTGCAATTTCATGTTTCGAAAAAATTCGTCGCTACGGTTTTTCGATCGAAGTTTTGAGATTAGATTGTCAGCGAAGCGAGATGAGAAGTAAATAATTGGCAATAAAAAAAAGCTTTTTCGATCATGTAATGATACTGCCTTCATCGCTAAAGTATCTTCTGCTTGAGGAAAAAAGAATCAAAGCGATCGATCGATTATTAACGAAATGGTCGCGAGTTGAATATAAATAAATATTGATTTTCATAATCGTCATAATCGTTTCATAATCGTCGAAAAAACAAGTTTTCAATTTTTTTTAAACTAACAGTCCTAGCTATATATATTTCAATGTAAAAAGTGTGCACCCAATCGAGCTGGACACGCTGGTATTTTTTGTATAAGGAAATTTCAACTTTGGACATTTACGGTAAAATTTCCGCGTTCGGTATGTGAGGCGATTTTCAAATTGTAATACGCGCCGTACTGTGCGGAACGTTCGGTGCGCGGGAACGACTGCAGCGCCGAGCTACGTAGAGCGGAAGGAACGAGAAGTAGTCAGTCCCAAATGGGAGAAGGAGACGAACGTCCGTCCACGACATTTTTGTTAAAAATATACTAATAAATGTTCACACTCTTTAAGCTGAGTTGTCTATTTATTACGGAATAACCCTTACAGGTACGTATGGCGCTATGGAGGGGACTAAGTCCAAGCGTTGAGCGTGTTATGAAATCCGGCCGCTCAATTAGCCTAAGTTTGAGCCCAATCGGACGACATTATTTTTTGAGGTGAATACACTTCAGAAATTCTGCCCCTATAGTGCAACGTCTAAACAAAGTACACTATACACTAAGCATTATAAATATCATCGCATTATTTCACAGGTTAACAGTTCACAGATTGATCAAACGAATTTTCGAGGTAAATAAGTGAACAAATTCTAACATTTTAGTTAAAACTTAGATAATTGTTAAAGAAACAAACAATTATTAATTTTTGCCAGTTACATATTCTCAATGAATTGAAAATTGTTAATAAAGGGTGTTTTTTTTAGAGGTTTGGTTTTTAAATTGGCAACACTGTTTCTAGTGACTGTTAATTTCACAGTTGACAGATGATTTGTGGTCAGTAAGTTTTGCCACTTCACCATGAATAGACTTACATCAGAACAACGCTTGCAAATTGTGCAAATTTATTTTGAAAATCATGGCTCAGTTCGCCAAACTTACCGTGCGCTACGTTATTTGGATAATCATGGATCGTTTTCGAATTACGCACACTCTAGTTGATAATACGCATCCATAAAGACGCCATACAGTGCGGACAGAAGAAGTCAATGCTGCTGTGGAGCGTAGTGTTGAGGAGGACCAGAATGAGTCGATACACCGTCGTGCACAGGAATTGGAGCTGTTCCCATCCACTTTGTCGAAGATTTTTCGAAAAGATCTTGGCTTACGAGCTTACAAGATCCAGCTTGTGCAAGAGTTAAAGCCGCGTGACCATTATGCGCGCCGTACGTTCGGTGAATGGGCCGAAAACAATAGTCAGCTTGATCCTCTTTTTCAACGCAAAATTTTATTTAGCGACGAGGATCATTTTTGGTTGAACGGCTACGTCAACAAGCAGAATTGCCGAATTTGGAGTGGCGAAAGCTCAGAAGCCTTTGTTGAGA